AATATACCAAAAACTCCTAACCTAAGGGAATCATATATTTAATATACCAAAACTCCTAACCCAGGGAAGTCATATATTTAATATACCAAAACTCCTAACCCAGGGGAGTCATATATTTAATATACCAAAACTCCTAACCCAGGGGAGTCATATATTTAATGTACCAAAACTCCTAACCCAGGGGAGTCATATATTTAATATACAAAAACTCCTAACCCAGGGGAGTCATATATTTAATATACCAAAACTCCTAACCCAGGGGAGTCATATATTTAATATACCAAAACTCCTGCCCCAGGTGAGTCATATATTTAATATACCGAAACTCCTAACCTAGGGGAGCCATACATTTCATGTACCAATTACTTTGCCTTGAGGCACCAACATTTTTAATGTGCTTTCTCAACAGAGTGTGAAAGCAGCATTCAACCGAATACACTGCTGTAACGCATTCGACGTCTATCAAGTGATACAGACATTAGAAGAAATTAGAAGTTCAATAATTGCAGGAAATAACAGTTTTTACACATCAATGAAACTACTTGTACTTGACAGTATTGCTGCTGTTATCTCACCCATACTTGGTGGGCAACAAACTGATGGTATGTAGTATTATGGGATGTCAAAAGTAGATAATGGCATGTAACTATGGTGACATATATGAACATCCCATCACAAATTTGCAACCCAAATTGTACATTTCCAGAATTACTAATATTTCGAAGGATACCCTAAGTATTTGTCTGTTTTTTTGTTCTTGTGTATTTACAGTGTGTATTTTCACCTTATTGAATAGGGAGATAACATATTAGGTTGAAATCTCTGGCATTAGTCAATGAAATTTAATGTATGGAACACAAATGTCTGGTTATGAAATTAATCCCTCCCATTTCTATCCAAACTGCACATGCTCAAAACTGAGCCAATAGCAAGCCGTAACAGTCAGATCAATCGGAGACCAGCCTGATTGTTTGTTTCTGTGTATCGAATTTTGTATACCGGGTATCGGTACCTCTACTCAACTGAAGTAACATTGCAACAGTCATGTATAGCAACAAGGAAGTATTGATCTCAATACCATAGAATCAGTATCATCATATTCTCAATTTATCACAACAGAGGATATGATGTCATACTTCACCCACAATCCTTTGCTTAAAGGGGAACCGCTCAATCCCTTGGATTGCACCAAGTGCTCATGGGTAATTAACTCTGCCTCTGTCCACTGAGTAAATGAATGCTTATCTTTCCCCCTGTACCGCTAATCCCACAAAACAACAACTGATATAAACATCCTAAGAACGGATTACAATTTGCTTGTTTAAATATAACCACAGTCCCTCTATAGGGATAGATAGAGGGACTGTGATATAACATAGCAACTGAATTTCAAACAAATACAGAGCAGTCTTCATGTGCCATGATTTGAAACATCGCGCACTCGGTAATTTATACATCGTCAGAAAAATATGACGCGGAACTAATTCAAGTTGATGATGGCCAACAAGAAAAGGCGGCAGTCCACCGGATACACACGACCAGATTGTTGCTAAACGGTCGCAAAGAAAATCCGCCGACTCAAGTTTATTTGCCTGTTTCCGGTGCGTCGGTCTATTGACGGTACTGATCTCGTATACAGTAAACCTGAGAACGAAACTTCCTATGCACATTCTGTATACATACTACTCCTCCAGACTGCTAATATAACAAGTGTGAAAACACAAAGTCAATAACTTCGGTTTTCATATTTCCGTCACAAATCGGTAAACTATTGCCCTCAAATTTCCATATGATATTGACTAATTGGTAGAGGGGACAATAAAAAAGTTTACTGTATATTATAAGTACAGGTGTTTACACGAAAATTCCCGTGATAAAATATCAAAATCATTAGTAAAGAAAAGTCGCCGCGACATCACAGGCTTATCTTGTAACCTGTTTACGACACTCGTATGGAAAATCAAAATGTACACGGGTGGTACCAGCTTGTATCTCGTGTGAGATTTGAGTTCTTGTGATCTGGTGGGTGAACGTCGAGTTGACTTTACAGTCAAAATCAAATGAGCGGTGAGGGGGAGAAGACCGTTCTGTCAAAACAATTTTACCGTAGACTTAATTTTAACAATCAATCTGCAGCGTTGTATTTATCATAAATAAGAATCCCAAAATAGAATATATATACACACATACATTCGATTAAATTTTCTGGACATATATGCGACGCATGAACGAAAATGATCTATTGTAAAAGATATGAATTGGAACTGCCTGTGACGTGTTGTCCCGGTGCTGTTTCGTCCTACAGTCAAATACAGAAACAAAAACTGATTTATTTTCTTATGCCAAGACCTGGTTGTTCATGCATTTCAAGCATGGCGTATTTACTTCTTGTACTCTGTGGTGTGTGCTGTGGAAACATCTGATTTCGCGGTTTTGAGCTGTCGAAGTATTTCGCGAAAAATAAAATAAAGGGTAACACCATACGAAGCAGTCAGGCCAATGTCTTGTTGATATCCGAAACTTGGAACTTCTAACGGTTATTTCCTGCACGCCTACCAGTATTACACAACTACCATTTGAAGCTCATTGCAGTCTGACACTTATTCACTGTACCCCTTCCTTTTTCCAGACTGTCTAGAAAGTTATGCAAAAAGTTTCATCCCTTAGAAAACACAAGTCTTTGCCGTACGATCATAAGAAAAATGTCCACATACTAGTAACTAACATCGTTCTGGCGTTCCTAAAAAAGTTTTTAAAAACGAACACTGCATTGCTCAATAGCAAATAATCACGGTAGCGCAATCTGACCATGTTATGTTTCACAATTATTATTATTACTTGGTAGTGATAAAAAAGTACAAAAAGTAAACTCGTTGAATTGTTCTGAAATGCAAGTAAATTTCAATTTAGATTCATCGTAAGCGAATGATTCCGGTCGCATGCAAATGCTCGACATCTTATAGGTCAAATTGCTAATCAGCCAATCAAAATACTCAGTGATGCCAATGTGTTCAAATTACCAAAACAGAGGAGATTTGCCGATGTTCCAGCACGATCTTTTAACTCGCGCATTTTTTTTTTTTAAATCAAAACATTAGTTGTTTTTGATGATAAACTGACCATTTGAAGACTAATTTAACATTTTTACGGTGATAACAGCTCATTGTTGAAGCGAAGCTTTGCCCATTCACGCTAACCACAATAAACATCGTACTCTTGAATAGGCGTCAATAACTACGGTAAAATTCGTAAGATTATGGGTCAGGAGTGAGTGTTGTTTTGACTTGGGTATTGTGTTTTACATTCCAACAGAAAATTTTATTTTTGCGTTTTTGGACTCATCGCGAAATTAAAACCACGCAAACGATTTCTACCTCTACATTTAATTTATTGCAATGGATATCCGAAAGCCCGTAACCTAATGTTATTGACATTGTTTACTGTCTTACATGTCATGTCCCAGTGTTACCAATGGTTAGACCATAGACAAACTATGTAACGATAATGCTGTTTGTAAACCAACAATCTTTGTAGATTGAATAAACATCTAGGGGATTTACATTTTCGTTTACTCAAACTGTGATTGACAGGAATTTTGCATACATTAGCCACCATTTTAAACTCGTGATTTTCACTGGTCGCGACACGTTTCGATCGAAATTAACAACATTTATATATCAAAAGCCCAATCAGACGAGTGTAATCGCTAGCGTACATATTCATGCCCCTGTAAATATGTATTTGGAACCACAGCTTGATCCCCAAACATTGTATATGGCACATTTCACGGAGCTCCCGCCACGATGTTAGCGGCTTGGTTCGGATTAGCATACTAATACGGTGGCCATCTTGACCCTTATTTATAGTAGTATCGGCTCCCCTTTAAGAACCAAAATGGTGGACTACATAACACTGGTGAAAAGTTGAATATCTGGAGAATGAAAAGTGATATAAATAAACTGTATATTGTATGTCCTTACATTTGCCGAGCTGTTTCATCTGGGAGTATTACATTGTTAGCCTTGACTTTTCCTTTAAACGTAATGTAGTGATCAGACAACCTTTTTTGACTCCTGTGTGCGAAGCACAAAAAGGGAGTCTTTGCTGTTAGTGTGTCTGTCTGTGTCTGTTCCACTGATATCTCAAGAACCATACATTGTTTTTTGATGAAACTTGGTGCATAGATGCTCTGGGCCAATGCGCAGATTTGATTAGGTTTTGGTAAAAAGCCATGCATATTAATTACCTAATTTGCATGATATTTAGCTGATTTTTAGCTGTTCCATGATTGTTCCACTGATATCTAATGAACCACTCATTGGATTTTGATGAAATTTGGCACATAGATGCTCTGAACTAATGCGCAGATTTGATTAGTTTTGGGTAAAAATCTGTGCAATATTAATTACCTAATTTGCATAATGATTAATCAATTTTTGGCTTTTCCACTGAAATCTCAAGTACTAATCACATTTCAATAAAACTTGGTACATAGATATCATAGGACACTGCACAGACCTGATAGTTTTTAGGGTAATATCAGTACATATTAATTACCTAATTTGCATAATTAATTTATTTTCAGCTTTGATAATTCAAGTAATCATCACATTTCAATAAAACTTGGTACATAGATGTCATATGACACTGCACAGACCTGATAGTTTTTAGTGTAATATCAGTACATATTAATTACCTAATTTGCATAATTAATTAATTTTCAGCTTTTGATATTTCGAGTAGTAATCATCACATTACAATGAAACTTGGTACATAGTTACTTAAGGACTGTGCAGAGACCTGATTAGTTTTGGGGTAAATATTTGTGCATATTAATCACCTTATTAGCATAATTAGTTAATTTTCAGCTTTTCACCTGATAATTCAAGTACTGATCATCATATTTCAATGAGACTTGCTACATAAATCCTCTAGGACTATGCAGAGACCTGATTAGTTTTAGGGTAAATAATTGGGATATTAATTACCTATACCTATATCGCATAATTAGTTAATTTTTTCCATGAATGTTCCACTGATATATGATAGAACCACTAATTGGATTTTAATGAAA